ATGATCCCGAGCATTAGACTCGTACTTGCACGTTACAAGAATGTTGTGTAATTATTTGGGGTCTGATTTTACCCACCAAGTTTGGCCTACTAGCGTATGAGAGGTCCATTGTATCTTAGTAAACCATAAGGGTTTGGACCAAAAATATAATTCCAAAATCGGTTAAGTGTCTAGATCGTCATAGTCCAACAAAAAAAAATTAAAAGCTCAACTGAAAAAAGAGACCTTGCTAAAAATCTAAGTAATTAGCTCTTCCGCGAATTTCGTAAGCCCATCTAGAGGAGAAAGCATCGTCAGAGACTAAGTAGTTAGTTCTCCTGCGAAGATACTCTCATAACACATATGGAAGCATAAACGAAAAGGTATTTAGAGGGAGGAGCATTTTTCTTACGATTTAGAGTTCTCCATTGTTATTTTAGTCATTTTCGTTAACAAATTTTTGTAATGGCTTATTCAGTTCATCATCAGCGAAATTATGTCTTTAGTTCTAAAAACGAAAACATACACTCCCTTTACTTTGTTATCTCAGCACTTCTCCAATGAAAATATTGTTGTGGATTTATACATTCCGACTAATAAAAAAATTAGACAAGTTCACTGAATATATTTAGCTCTGTTTGTTGGTCGGGATACCTCGCCGATTGTCCAATTTTTGTAAAACCAGTAGAGACTGATTCTGTGTTGCATGATACATTTTTCACTTGAGTAAAAGTTAACTGGAACGAGTGAATGATTAAGGACAACAACGATTCGCCAAAGGAAACAAATAATTCGATATGAAATTTCTGATGATAAACAAAAAGTCCCCAGTAAAATTATTCAAGTTCAAAAAGATTCAAACAAAGTTCAAGCTTTCGACTTTTTGCCTTTGGTTTCGGCAGCTACAGGCTTAACTTTGAAGGGCAAGAACGTTTCTCCACCCATAAACGGCTGCAGAACCTCAGGGATGTCCACACCGTCCTCTCGCTGGTAGTTTTCCAGAATGCAGCAAATGGTCCTCTCTGTTGCAGTAAGTGTCGAATTCAGCATATGCACATACTGCTTCGTCTGCTCATTGCTCTGTATCAAAACCACAAACGAAGAAAGGAGTTACGCAAGAACGAATACATTTGCCATGAAATGCCTAAAAACCGAGAGATATAATACCTTCTTTTGACCATATCTGATCTCAAGCCTTCGAGACTGGTAGTCTGTACAGTTGGAACAGGACACTAGCTCTCTGTAAGTCTCTGACGATGGAAACCAAGCTTCCAAGTCATACTTTTTCGCAGCTGCATCATTCAATGCTCCAGAGACTATCGACACGATTTGGTACGGAAGTTTTAGCTGCAGAATCACAATGTGCAATGCATTAAACCTTTTTCTCAAGTTTTCTTATTCTAATAATCTACTCAACTTTCTCTACCCTGTCAATACAAATCCCAATTCGAACTAATTGAATAAGAAGGCAGTGACTTTATATCTAATTACCGCTTGGTAGAAATCTTCCGCGTTCTTCATCATCTCCTCGAGCATTTTCCATGAATCATTCTCATTAGGACCAGTGATGCAAAACTGTTCGATTTTCTCAAACTGGTGAACACGGAAAATACCGAGTGTGTCTCTTCCATGGGAACCAGCTTCTTTTCTAAAGCAGGTCGAGTAACCGGCATACCTGGACCAAAAAAAGTCATACTGTCAGGGGAATTCTTTGATAATACACAGAGAAACAATCTGTCTTAATGCTGCAACTATATGTGTTATACTACGTTATGTATGTATACCTTAGGGGAAGCTCTGTCGGATGAATCCATTCATCAAGATGGTATGCACAAAGGGGCTGCTCAGCAGTTGCAATAAGGTATTTGTCATCTCCTTCACCAGTCACCTGAACAAAACAGCAATCTTCTCAGAATTCAAACCTCAAATACTACTTTAACAACATCTTTAAACCACCAAAATGGTATTGAAACGATTAAAGACCTTGTAAAGTTCTTCATCAAACTGTGCCAATTGTGCGCACTTGGCCATGACATCCTTCCTCATGAAAAAAGGAGGTTGCAATCCGGTGAATCCTCTCTTCTTCAAGAAGGTTAGCCCAAAGTTGATAAGAGCTTGGTTAAGTAGCAAACCATCACCTTTTAGGAAAAAGCCTCTAGCTCCAGCAATTTCAGCACCTGAGGCCAAAATAGCATTCTTATAATGAAAACCAAAACAGCAAAAACCCACGAGACACGGATTGAGAAGAAGGGGGCAGTCAATGCTACCTCTCTTGGTATCTGCAATACCGAGAAGCTCAACAAGATCCACATGGTTTTTCATCTTCAAACCAGCTGAAGCAACCCGCTTTTCACCCCAAACTTTAGTCACAAGATTGTGCGCCTGCATATGAATAAAACACACTACACTCATAAATCACTCTCCTCTCCAAGCAGACAAAACCTTAAGGGAAAGAAAACAACACTGACCTCATCGTTATTAATTGGAACGGAGTCATGGACAAGATTTCCAACAGTCTCCAATTTAGCTTTCAAAGCAGCATAAGCTTCACGAACTTCCACCTCCTTCTCGGTAGAATCTTTTTTGTTTTTCTCAGTTTGCTGAATCAGCTCAGTCGCATCGCCACCAGACTATTCCAAAGGAAACACAAAAACTCATAACTCTATAAGCATAATACTACCAACCAAAAGAACTAAAATGGCACTCAAGATTCATAAAACACCAAAATCGGTAGAAAACTAGCATTAGTATAGTTTCAAGATCCTCCTAAGTATTCCAAAGAAACACAAACACTCATTACTCTATAAGCATACTAGTCCAATGAACTAAAAGAGGATTCCTAAAAGACCAAAATTGTTAGCTAATTTCAGATCCTAAGTATAATAATATGCATAATGGATCTAAGAAAAGTAATTAGAAACTAACAATTTTGAGCTTGGCGACTTGCTTGTTGAGCTTGTTGAAGTCCTTGCGATAATTCTCAACTTCAAACTGACCTGAAAAACAGAGAGAGATTTGATCAGTCGCAAATTTGCAAAAGGAAACGTTTGAAAAAAGAAAATCGTTGGGATTATACTTACGTTGACGCCATTCTTTGTCGAGCTTAATAATCTCATCAACGACTTCAACACTTGCAAATCGGCGACGCTGAGATTCACGAATGATCTCAGGATTGTTCCCTTTCTCTTCTCGAAACAGATTTATATCCAACATTTTTGTTTTCTCTGTGAATCAAAGCAGAAATAGAGAAAGGTCTTAGCGCTCAGATAGACAACAATGAAGTAGAATCATACAAATTCGGAACCAAGTCGGAATCATTACCTTTAGCTTCTGAGATTACAAAGCTGAATCGGTGGTGGCTGCTCGGAGATGGGAATCGAGGAAGATGAGAAGAGAAAGAGAACAAAATTAGGGTTTGACTAATGTTCAACAACAAACCGATCGGTTCAGGAGTGCTGAACCGCGGACCGGATTATTAAGACCACATTAAAACCACGTCGTTTTTT